TTCCTTCCTTCCTTCCTTCCTTCCTTCCTTCCTTCCTTCCTTCCTTCCTTCCTTCCTTCCTTCCTTCCTTCCTTCCTTCCTTCCTTTCTGTTGCTGGTGAGTGTCTTGATATGGAATCAATCTCAGAACACCATGTGCTTGTGAGATCTGCAGCAACCTTCAGCTGGTGCGTTACTCTGGTCACAGGCTGGGGACAAAGTTGTTTTTTCTTTCTACCTTTGCTTGGGTAGAAAGGCATGCTGCCGTGTGCCTTGGGCAGCACCTGTCTGGGCAGGACACCTCGGGGCATCGCTGCCATCTGAAGGGTAGCCTCACTGCTTGGCATGCCCCACACCTCCAGGTGGGACCGTCTGTAGTGTTTCACAAGGGAGTATCTTCCATTTCTCTGTAGTTGCACCACAGTTGGTGAGTGCAATGGAAGCTGTTGGCTTTAGTGCTGTAGTCTTCTGAGGTTTGGAATGTGCTTTTCCCAGGCTTGCCTTTTGTTCAGGTGTTTGTATAGGCAGAGGATCTCAGCCAGGCCATGTTAGGAGCACGTGTCACCTCGTCAGCCTGTGTCACCTCGTCAGCCTGTGTCACCTCGAGACTCACGTACCACCTCGAGACCCATTCCCAGGTCTGTGCGCCTCACCCCATCAGCAGCAGCAGGCCCAGCTTTCACATTTCTGGGCACACTGTGAAGGCTTACTGATCTGTCAGTGCTTCAGGAAACCATGGGGCTAGGAAGCGTAGATGAAGGATTTTGTGAAATCTGGTATTTAAACCTCCCACTCAAATGATGATGAGGAGAGCTGGCAACATAGCATTGGCTTATCAGGAGCTGTGTGGGCAGGTCAACTGAAGAAAAATGTTGTGTGAACGGCACCAGAAGTGAAGAAGAGAAGCCAGAGTCTTGTCAGGTACAGGGTTATAACCACGTAAATACGGTTCTTTTTCTTAAAAACATCATTTTATTTGAACAATAAAGGATGGGCACCCTTGCCAGGAGCTGCTGGAGTGCAGCCTGACCAGACAAGCAGGTCTCTAAGTCACAGAATACTCACTAAGCCATGTTCTTCAACACAACAGGGTCTAGATATTTAGGATTATTCTTCTAGCACAAGTAATTCTGAACTAAGCACTGCAAATTAATGTAATTGTCAGCTCTACTATCATGAATGCAAATAATCCACTTGTGGATACGTCTTCTGACAATGCTGTGTTCAAAAAAAAAAAAAAAAAAAGCTGCTTTCAAGCTTCATCTGTCAATAGAAGTCCTACTAAGTGAGTCGTGCAGGTTGCTGAGAGGCCACGTGTAACTTACTGTGTCCAATGAAAGTCTCTAATTGGTTAAAAGTAATTAAAAATAGGGACTCTATGTGATCACAAAGCCAAAATCCTAGTTTAATTATGGAAATGGAAGAATATCAGCTTAATTAGACTAGTTACAGCAAAAAGAAGTGTGGAAAGGATGCACTCTGTGAGTGGTTACGCTGTGAGCTCCCAAAAGCGTTTTGAGGGCGGAGTTGCTGAGCTGGTGGAGAAAATAGCAAATTAAATCATCTGCAGGTGCTCGTGGTCTGTTCTCACCTCTGCACTGACTTCTGATTGAGGAAATTTGACTCAGAAATGGCCAGGACTGAGGGGCAGGTTATAATTTCGTGTAAGCCTTGTCTGTGTGGTTCTCTGTGTGCTGAAAGGCACTGTCAGAGGGTGGGGAAGTGGCTTCGGGATGGACAAACGCAGAGGATTGATGGAGGGAAGGATGGGCTCCGCTCCTGATGATGATGTGGTCCATCTGATAGATGGAAAAATGGATCTTGGAAGATATCAGAGCACTTAGGGCAGTCCTGGGGCTGTCATCTTCGGGTATGGAAAGCTGAGATACTTGAGAAACTATATTTGGTTGCCTGGGAAGAAAAGAATATGTAGGATATCAAGGTGCAGCTTTGCAAAAGTCTTAATGCATGCTGAGAAAACGATAGAAAGGGTCAATAGTGAGCTGTCATTGCTTTGCAGTGGAGGCTGGTCTCCAGCTGAAGAGGAACTGGAGTGGTGGCACGGGAAGTGGACGAGGTTTTGGGAGGAGCGATAGAAGTAGCGCTGGGAGAAGGCTGAGGCATCTGAGGCTGAGCTGAGGTGCACCTGGAGCATATGGCCATTTTTGCTGGAGGGCATGGGGTGATTTTCAGTGAGTGTGGGGCATGGGGAGGCTGGGAACAGAGCTGTGGGTGCTGGAAGAGCAAGCAGATGTTGGACTGGAGATTTGAATGAGAAATAGGCGTGTGGTCAAAACGAGAAAGTCTGTGTGCCAGTGTGGAAACATGACATAAAAATAGTCGGAGTAGACTGCTCAGTGGTTTGAAAAGACTTTGACATAGCTAGCCTGACTGAAGCATAGTGGGGGAGAAGATGATGAAAATACTGCAATGGCTGCCATCAAACCATACAGGATACACGGGTCATAAAGGTGTGAAGGAGCACTCGATTTAAAAGTTGCCATAAAACCCAAGAGGAAATTGGAATAGTGGTGCTCACACAGCCAAACCTGTGTCGGAGATAAATTCCACATTGTAATGAAACAGAGGTATTGAGACACCTTCTATTCCAGACAAGGAAAAGGTTATGGATTTCATGGGACGTGAGGGAAAACCAAGCTCGTGCGTCTCCATAAACCTGTTAGAAAAGGTAAATTCAATTACGTCGGTGCTATCTGGCCAGATGGTTTTGGAAGGAGCTGGCTAACATTTCGATGAACAAACATCTTGATTTACTTAAAGAATCATTTATTTTAACAGCCTGTTGTAGAGCTAGCCTTGATTTAGGACTAAAACGTAAGAACTGGTTCAAGATATAATTACAGCTGAGTCATTAAATAGCAGTGACCACAGTACAATTACAGGTTCAGCATCCTCAGGGGTGGAAGACACTTTACTAAAAATGAGTCTTGTGTTATAAAACATTGCAGGGGAGAACATCAGAAAAGCAAAATTGTGAGCCTGGTCAAGGTAGCTCCACAGGCACCTGGAAATGTTCCAGACACCCAGGTTAGGAAGAGCTCTGTCACAAAGGAGCTCCAGAGCCGAAGTGTAGGACAGACCAGTGAAATATTTATAAAAGGAGGGACTTCTGGAGCAAGACTCTTTGACAAGACAGAGGTCCAGCTCTCCCAAAGAGTGCCGGAAGAGCCATGCTGTGCTGCAGGTCACAAATTCAATTTGTGGAAATTAAGCAGTTCAGCAGGGATGTTTTGGAGAGCCGGAGACCCTCGGGAACAAACGATATTTTAAGCATACAAGCGAGAAGGCTCTTCAGAGGATCTAAACGTGTAGGATTAAAGACACAGTCATATTTTCTGCACTAATCTGTGTTACGTAGAATGCTCCAAAAATAATGTTTCCTACTAATTTCCACAGAAGTTGCAGCAGATGCAAGGAGCACAATGACACTATCTGACAGAGCAAATTCTCAGCTACAGAACACGCTCTCAGGTGTGCATTTTTGTCAGTGATGTGCAAGAGCCTGCATGCCATGCTCGTAAAAATCTGCACCAGCCAAGGTGACCACTGTCACTGTCTCCACCGCAGAAACACACCATCCACCACCTTACTGTGCTCACACCCACTGTTCAGTCTCCAGAAGATGTCAGCAATTGCTGATGAATGTCAGCGGGTGCCATTTTTTCCTCATGGAGGAATTTAATTCTACACCTTTGCGCCATACGCACTTCCATGTCAGATGCCACACTGTCATACCACCCTTCTACTGCCATCTGCCACGGAGCAACAAAATGTAACGGGATATTGGCGGAAGGTCCAACCTTTGCTCTCATCCCACCATCATCTACTTCTGTCATCATGGGCTGACATAACAAAGCAGGAGGCATTACTTTTGGAGCACGGGGTGCATTCAAGAGACACCTTTCTCCTTTCGGCAAGGATAAGGAACGTATCTGCAGCTTGTACCTTTGAGGCAAATACAACACAACCAGGTAGCAAATCCAAATGGAGGAGCAATGCGCATCCACACAGGAGTTTTTAAAGAGCTGGGGACAGAACACTAACGTTAGTAGTAATTATAGGGTGTCCTAAAAAATAGCTTGGTATCCTCCATGATTAGAATACATCCTAATGGTGTATTATTAATAATAATAACAATCATAACAATAATGTTATTGTTATTATTAATAATGACATTATTGAACAGGGCACTGGGAATTGTAGACCAGCAATTCCTTGTTTGAGGAGTAGCTAAAGTAGTATCACATGTCAGTATGTGCTAGGGTGAAAGCAACGTACCTTCTGCAAGGAAAGATCACGTTTTCCAGGTAATCTGCCCAAACCTTTTAACCTGCTGGCAAATGGCAGGGTGCAGAGAATCGGGGGATTTTTGTTTGGATAAATATGGATCAATATCATGGATGCCTTCTTTTGCTACCGCTGATATTGATCAGCTCAGGGTAGAAGGAAGCTTAGTCTGAGCTGGAGATGGAAACTTTCCTGGGCTCGGAGGCGGGGGTATTTCTTGAGTAGATCTGCAGACTTTGAGCAAGTGAGTTTCCTCTGGGAGGCAGTGATTTGTCAGAACCAGAGTTGCAGGGTGGAAAAGGGTTGATTTTCTCTGGACTTATCTGGTGAGCACATCTAGGTCAAAGTCTGGTTGGCCAAAGAGGAGACACAAGCGCAGAATACTTGGCAGCACGACATCTAGATTCCTTCTGTGATGTGGCAGCCCCAGTTCAAATCCTGACCCTGAGCTAAGGCTGCCACATCCCATAGTATGCCTCAGCAACCAATGAGTCCGGATGTATTCAGCTTTTTTTGTTTGTTTGTTTGTTTGTTTAACCAAACCAAGCAAAAAACCTGAAAGTTGTTGGTTTGGTAGTGGGCAGAAAGGGAAGGTATGGGGAGAGAAGCCTATCCAGTTCTTTCCAGGTCTCATCTAGCTCTGTATTTGAGGCTGCCCACACACATACGTGTGCATGTGTGTGCAGACCTCCCCAAGGACCCAGGAGGTGAGCTGCTGTGAGCAGGAGCAACCCTTTGCTGCTGTAGTTCAGTTTAAGGCTTCTTAAATGTCTGAACGTCCCAACATTCCCCTGGCTCAGAGGAGCACAAGCTGGGTGTGGGCAGTCTGCAGCTGCAGGGAATGTCTGCTAGGACAGGCAATAGATTGAGAGAAAAAATGTCAGTGATGCTCTGGAAATATATCTAGGCTTTAGAGGACTTGCTCATTCAAGAGGAAGAGTGTCTTCCCTTCAGCATCTGATTTTCGGTAGAAAAACCAAATGAACTGAAGGTGCCATAGAAATTAACTGTGTATTACAGAGTTAGGTGCTAATGTCTTAGAGGCTGCTGTGTTTGAACTCACATGTAATACCGTTCATTACGTTCCCAAGTTGTTCCTCTGCTGTTTTCCCCTGGTAAGCTGGCCGTTGTCACTGACACAACCTTTGTCCCCCTCCCTGAGAAATACCAATTTCATTATGTTACTCAACTCTAGTGAAATTGTATCAGCTGACTTTGAAGTACACAGTATAAAAACGTCGTGGTATGCTTGCATGGTAGTTATTTGATGTAAGAAAACGCAAAATCTCTTGTGCTCTCTCTTTAGGAATTTGGGCTCTGAGTTTCACTGGGGAGTGCTGTGTGTACCCAACTGCATGGGGTCAGGCCCACCTTTTTTAAAAACGTTTCACATCTGAGGTTAGAAATGCTTCAGAAGACAAATCAGCAGAAAAGCTGTCTGTTCTTGGCTCAGATGACAGTAGTGACTTGTACTAAGGACTGTCCTTCCACTTAGAAAACTGCACAGCTGCTTCTGCTTTAACTTCTGTCAGAGGTCTGGCATCTTGGCACAGGTGTTTTTTTCTAAATGTACTGAGTACAGTTGCCTTTAAATTCTCTTAGGTACATACAGTTATCATTGGTGTTCTGTAAACTAGCTCTCTACTAGCATTCACATTGGACTAGGCCTAATATTCTGAATGTCAAAAAATGAAAATGAATTTATACCCTTTTATGCAGTTCTGCCCAGGGTAGTGGTGGGTTGGTTTGTCTGTAGAACTACCAGCAGTGCTATGTCGGTCTTCCCTGCTTTACCTGCGGTGATTCTCGGTGGGAGAGCCCAGAAGTGTGGGCTGGAAGCCCACTCTACTTTCAGTTGAAAGTTACGAACTGAAAGATACAGGCTCAAATCTATTTTTCCATCCGTTGTTGACACCGAGGTATTATAGTGATGAAGTCCTTGGAAACACTTGGACAAACTCGGCTGTAACACTGAGATAATGCATCTTTTCCATTCTTTTCTTTTGCCGTCGATCGAGTATCTGAGCTTTTTTTGTCACGTAAAATGTTTAACTTTGAGTAAAAATTACTCCACTATCTATCAGATACTATCCCTTCTCATCCCATAAATCCATTTAGGCTTGATTATTTGTAGTCTTCCAGGAAGGGCCGACTGTGTGCATTCCCAAAGCCAACACCTGCCCCAGTGAGGGAAGGAAACCTTTCTGTAAAGGCAGCGCTGCCCAGGCACCCATGGCTCTCTGCTCCGGGTGCTCTGAGGCCCCAGCAGGGCAGGGCTGTGGGACAGGCTGTGCCACAGCAGGGTGGGATGACGGCCCCGTCCCACAGCTGTGCCCCATGGGGGCAGAAAGCTCGCAGCTCTGGGTGCGGTGCGGGGTGGCCGCTGGCAGGCTCTGCACGGGGCACAGGCAGCCTGGGGTGCTGAGGTGCTACGCACCAGCCTGCACTGCAGGTCACCCCGCACGCTCCCTGCCTTTGGGTCCCAGGAAAGGGAAATTGGAACTTTTTCGGGTCAAGAAAACTCAGTGAGGGTGACACCAGGCCCCTGGAGAGCGGTGTTTTTCCCGTGGTAGTGCCAGCTGCTCACACTTGCTTCTTTTCAGCCATTGCCCATGGTTTGGTTTTGCTGGGTTCTTAGCCATCTTGACCTCATGTTTGCAAATATTATTGGTAATATAATGCTATATGTACAAATGTCTGTGTGGCTCGTGTATGTTTCTGTGGTTCAAATCAGCCACAGAATTCTGGAATTTCATTGTACTTTGGTTAAATGTTGGACTTTTAACTCTTCTACTGTATGGCTTCTTGATTTCTCTTGTCCAGTGTGGACCAACTCTCTATTTTTGGAAATAAATAAGCATGTAAATAAAATGAATGGGTTTATGCCACTTACAAGAAAATGCTTCATTTCAAATATTCACTCAGACTTGTATATTTTATGGCATCTCACGGCGCGGCCACCCATCGCAGCTGAGAGGCTGAGGCAAAGCAGCCTTCGCGGTGAGATACCATACGATGTGAAGTCATTGCCAGGTGCTGTCGGCCAGACAGATGCTGTAGGGCTGCGGGGTGAACGGCAGTCTTGTGGAGGAGGGGGGCCTGGAAAGCAGTGCGTAGTTTGAGAGGAGCAAAGAAAAGAGACCTGGCTTTGTGGTGCACATGTGGCTTCTGGTTTGAGGTGTCCCTGTCCCTGTTGCCGGCAGTGCAGGGTGCCCGGGGCCAGCCCTCGGCCTCTGCCCGCAGCGCAGTCCCGCAGCATGTCCCGCTGGCGCGTGGAGAGCGGGAGCACTATGACTTTTTTTTCTTCTCCATATAAACCAATATTTACCAGTAATCCTGTGTTTCTGTTTTTGTTTTTTGGCAGACTTTTACCAGTAAATATCGGTTTATTCCTGAAACCAGAAGCCCTATACATACCTTTGTTTATAAGGTCAGTTGTCATTTCGTCTCTCTCGTTCCCCACTCCCCCCAGTACAAACTGGCAGGTGATTGAAAGGTACCGAGCTTTCTTTCTAGTTTTCCTACTCTGCAACTCTGGAAATGGAGCCCGCAGGACCTAGAGCCTTCTCTTGGTAACGTAGACTGAAGTTTACAAATTATTATTTAACACTTTAAAGTCTGCTTTTAAGGACAGCGCTGTTCCCATCTGCCTGCTACCAGGCTGGTAGAAATTCCTGCAGATGCTTGGCGTGGTTCACCTTCCCAGAGCCTGTGGGCAGGTGTCTCACAAAGCATCTTCAGGTTTGGGCTTGGAAAGTAATTCCTCCAAAAGTACATGCTACAAAATGGCATTTCAGTTTTACAGGGAACAGGATGGGGGGAGCGGAGGGTGGGAACTGAGTATGGATATGTCTTTTTCTGATTTTATTTTTTTTCTTTTCATTTTTCTCTATATTCTGCTAGAAAGCAAGGCTTCTGTTTTGGAAAAGAAGCGTGAAGTGGGGAGGAGGGAGAGAATTTGAGCATTGCCCATCCTAAAATAGTTTTAAACACTTTCTCCAAGGCTGATGGAAAAGGCAGGTGAAAGGTCTGATCTGATCCTTAAAAGGACATTGCTAGGTGTCTGGGACTCCAAAAGCAGCTGGCGCTTCTTAATGACTGCAATTGATTTAGGCAATTTGCAAAATTTGGTCTATACTAAGACGTATCAGCTTGGGAGAATTGAAGACTCCCTTTTTTTTTTAAGAGTTTGCAACCCAAATGCTGCAGTACTGTGCTAATACTTGTGAAACAGCAAAGCTGGCAAGGAATAGAAAATGAGTTGACTGCATGGTCCCAGTCAAATTTTTTTTTTCTTTTGAACAAACAAAATGAAAAAATCATAATCAAAACCACCCTGAGCCAAAAAGTGCAACCTCCATAGAGCAAGCAGAACAGCATCTCAAGTGATTTGATTTGGTCTTGTAATGCACGGTTGGCAAGAGCATTTCTGGTATAGCTGCAACCTAACCATGTCCCTTTAAGACCAACTTCATCTCGATGAAACAAAAGACAAGGTTTTGCACTGTAGAGCAGATCAAAGCTCCTGCAGCCTTAGTTGGAGTCCATAATGACGGCAGTCTTCCAGCTGTACACTCTGAGCTGAAAACTACCTTTCCTCCCCTTTTGCAGCCTGTGTGGTTCTGATTGCTGGCAGTTCTCTAATACAGCTTTAATCTGAGCAGTTGAGGCTGGTCCCACCTTACCTTCAGACGTCTTGCGGAGGACTCCTGTTACCCGTTTGGTACCCAAAAGCTACACCCCACCATGAGAAGTCACTTATTTTTTAAAAGGCAGTGATAGATTACCGTCTCTAGTTCTAATGGAAAAATTATACTGCAATGCAACTTTATAATAAATTGTTCATATATTCATAATTCCGTGGCAATCCCAAATTGGAGGATGGATCTGTTAAAGGTATATATTAGTCTAGATTTTTTTCTTATTGTAAATACTGTAATTTTATAATACTGTCAATATTTTATTAACTTAGAAATATTTAACAGAGTTTAATCTATTGTAGTTGATTTATTTATAAGTTTATGTTGCAGCCAATATTGAACTGCATTCTAATGTAAGATTAACTTTCAGCATGTGAACACTGATTTAATCTATCATTGGAAAGATTAAAAATAAGGAAAAATTTCACTCTCAATCTGTAATATTTATCCCCCGATCAGCAGTTCAGAGTTTTTAATGAAACAGTACAAGATTTGAAAAGCTCATGAACTGCAGTTGGATCGTGTCATTTGAAAACTTGAGTTTTGAAATGTACCTGGCTTTTTCACCCTGTTGGCAGTGAATAAGATCGCTTCAGTACCTGAACTTTAAAGTACAGAAGTCTTTATTTTGAGCAAAGGGACACTCTCAGATTAACATTAGGTTCTTGTTTTAAGGGAAGAAAAAAAAAAGCAAAGCTCACCTCCCCAGCACACGTGTTAATTCCATCTCAATTACAAGGAAAAAAACATTTTTTCTGCTGGCTTGCTAATTGGCTCAAAGCGTTCCTGGAGCTGTGCTTGCAGGTGAGCTGCAGCCGGGGGCTCCCACTGCTCCAGGCGCAGGCTGGGGCCCTTCCCCACGTGTGCAGCTGCACACTGCGGCCTCGCAGGGGGCAGATCCGGTCTCTGGCACTGCTTATAACCATTGTCAAGGTGGATGAAAGTGCGTAAAATTTACCCTTTGTTAGGCTGAAGTTTCTCTTCACAAATTTGCTTTTTTTTTTCCCCCACATGTATCTCTCTTTTAGCCTGACAGTGTCCCTTTAACAGTACAAAGATGTTTACTTTCTCTAAAAAACTATTACAAGTGACTTTGAGACAGGAGAACTCATCTGTAATATGTTTGCGACATAACTTGCATAAAGATATCAAAAAACATAAGGGGTTTTCATGGGAGTTGTTTTTTTTTTTTGAGTGTAAAAGTTAATCTTTATTAGAGATGTGCCAATCTATACTGCTTTATTGTAGTGTTGTTACACTTAGGCATTTCAGTTAACTTACAAATATATACTGTAACAGTATACTTTGTACAGATTTATTTAAAATTTATTTGAAAACTGAAATAAATTAGGCAGAAAATAAAGATATTTATTTTTCATTTGACAATGTAAGAAGGTATCATTCTTTTGGTTTTAGTGCACTGGTGTACCAAGCCTCGGAACCACTGTTTTCTTCAGTTCCTAGTATGCTTTCCAGACACTGTGGATATGTGTGTGTGTACTGTTACGCTTCTAACTAAATGCCAACAACAGAGTTCGTTGCTTTTATACATCCCAAAGAAAAGCTCTCCACCATTTACTTTCTGTTTTCTGATGAAAAGATGCATGTTTTTGAACAGTGTCATTACAAGTTCCGCCACCCCACTTTCACATCAGCTTATGCCAGTGCCAGGATGGGAGGATTTGCCTGCCCAGTGACTTCCCCAGTACACCACAGCCAGCAGTGGCATCGGCAGGGAGCAGTTCGAATGCGTGTCCTTTGGGCTTTACGTAAAGCAAACTCAGAACAAGAAAAATCAAGACGTTAAATTCGCTAGAAAACAAATTCCTCGTTGTACAGTAGTATGGAAGTCAACCTGCCATTCATAATAGAGTCTTATTTTTTTGAATGATCTATTTAAAAGAACAGCAAGCATTGTATTTGCTAGTAAAGCTGAACTGTTTACATGGAATTACTGAATAAATTATTTGATCTAAAATGGCTCTCATCAGTGCTCATTTTTAATGCTGAAAATTAATTTTGGCAGACGCTCATTTAGTTTGTGCTGTTCTTTAAGATCTCCCAAACCAAATTTTTAATGCATCTTTTTGTTTTAAATTAGGTTCTGAGGAAGACGCAAAACATGCATTTCCCTGGGAGGTGTGACAGGAGCACTCCCAGAGGTTTTCCAGCACTCTGCACATCACCACACTGCCCTCACTGTCCCAAGCTAACGATCCTATTGCAGAAGCAGAGCAGGGCTTGCAGGCTGAGAGCCCTGCAGCAGCAGCACTGTGTGACTGCCATTCTCCCTGCTCTGAGTCCCATCAGAGAATCACAGAATCATAGGACTGCCTGCATGGAAAAGGACCACGATGCTCATCTCGTTGCAACCCCCAGCTACATGCAGGTCGCCAACCAGCAGAGCAGGCTGCCCAGAGCCACATCCAGCCTGGCCTTGAGTGCCGTCTTTTATCTTGCGGATAGATAGGTATTTTTTGAGTAGAAAGTGATGGCCGAGTGGCACAACTCCGTCCTGCAGGGCAGTCAAACCCAGCTCTGGCAGGCCGAGCACACGGCACGTGGTCCGGTTCATTTTTCAGCCGCAGGAAAGCCCCGCGCTCCGGGCTCCAGGCCCCGTCTGCAGGCCGCTGTGTGCAGCCGGGCTGAACGCGGGCCGTGGGCGCGGCTCAAGGCCCGGTGCCCCCAGTGCGGCTCCCCGCCGTCCGAGGCCCTGCAGCCGCAGAGGGTCCTGGAGCCGGGCCTGGCTCAGGGGCGCCAGCTGGCACGGCAGAGAAAGGCCTGCGCTGCCCCGCGGCCCGGCAAGGCCTGGCGCACGGAGCGGCCTTGCAGGGGGCGCAGCCCGGCCCTGGCACCCGGCCTGCCCGAGGGCACGTGCCCGGCGCTGGCGGCCGGTCAGCAGCTGCGGGAGGAGACAGCCTGGTGAAGGCCGAGGCAGAAATAGCGGCAGTCCTTGCAGATGCAGAGTCTGGCCACACCGTGTCCCAATTTAAGCACAGCATGCGTTTGTTCTTTATTAGGAGCTGAAAACTGAAAAAAATGAGAGTACAAATAATGCAATCTATCCCGTATTTCTCATTTGCCAGGCTTCCTTGAACAGCGTGCTAAGGCACGCGATGTTTAATTCAATGCTGTCAGCGCTAGGTTCCTGCTTAGAAAACCTATCTGGCATTTACATTGAACACCATTTGAAATGCTTTCAGAAATGGATGTTACGCTTCATATCCAGGGCAGGATTCCCATCCTCCTCAAGGCGTGCTCGTGCACAGGCTGCTCCCCGCTGTCCCTGTGCTCGCAGGGATCGGGGCTCAGCTTGGGAGCAGCAGACCCCCACCCAGCTCCCTGCAGAGCAGGGCTCCAGCTCATCACAGCCTGCTGTCCCCAGGGGCTCTGCCATTAGCACAGCACGTTGTGCATTCTGCTGCTTCAACAGCAAGTCATTCTGCCCTCCACTTCTTTTTCTGTATGGAATACTTATGTGCATCTTTTCCTTATAGGAGGAATAGCGTGTGTGGTTTTGAGTAGTATGTTCCTGGTAGTTTGCTTTCTGCTTTGGGGGAACACGCTGATAAAATGGCTACGCTGGTGTGAGTCACACCAGGAATCTTATCTGGGACAGAGGTTTCACCAAGCTGACACCTAACAGCACTGACCAATGGACGCTGCTTCAGAAGTTACAATCAGATGTTCTCTATCTTGGTGAGACGCAAAGCCCTTTTTTGGGGGGAAAAAAATTATCCAGATTAGCATTACCTCTCCCCCCTTCATCTCCACCTCTCTCCTTCTTGAGAGGAGTTACAAATATAGCTCAGGAAATGATTTGACCTGCTGCTGAGCCTCACAGCCGTAACAGTGCTGTAACACAGGGACCAGCAAAATCTATTGGGCTCCTGTGACATGCCCACAGCTCTAGCCCCACTCTCTCTGGTGCTTCTGTTCTCATTTTAAATCAAAATGCAGATTGAAACATCAGGTAGTGATCATAAACTTGCATTTTCAGCAATTGCTCTCATTCATTTTTCACTGATAGAGTGGTGCTTGAGTAATTTTGAACATTCTCATATGGCTCATCTTGCCCATCTTGAAACTCACTGGTTTTTCCTAACGTGACTGAATGATATAATCATTAAATCACGGAATAGCCTGAGCTGGAAGGGTTCTGTGAGGAACATCAAGTTCAACACCTGAGCGAGTCCATACAGGGCAACTTGAGAGTTAAACCATGCATCTATAAGCATTGGCCAAATGCTTCTGTAACTTCACCTCAACCTCCTTCACTCTGGGACCTCAGCTGCTCCTCCAACACCTTGCCCTTAGAAGCCTTCTGTGTCTTTGTAGCCCTCCTTTGGCTGCTCTTTAAGAGACTTATGGGCATCCAAACCTGCACACAGTACTCACAGACAGCAAGACTGCATCACGGCTGGGTAGAGCAGGCCAATCACACCTTTGGCCCAATTAGCTACAGTGAGCTTCATGCATGTCCAGGGTAGGGTTGGCCCTTTTGGCCACCAGAACACACTGCTGACTCATACTGAGCTTATCATTAACCTAAATGCCCAGATCCCTTTCTGCAGGGCTGCTTTCCACACACGTCTCCCAACCTGTACATACATCCAGGGTTACACTGTCCCAGGCGTGGAATCTAATATTTGTTCTTGAAATTCATATGTGTGATGATTGCCCAGAGCTCTAATCTATCACTGTCTCTCTGTAAGGCCTCTCTACCCTCAAGGGAATTGACAGCTCCTTCTAAGTTAGTATCACCCACAAACTTAGTGTGCGCTCAGTCAAAGCTTCCAACCAAAGCAATTCCTTTGCATTGGCTTTTAGGCATCTGCAGAAAGCCTGGTATCGTTGCTGGGAAGTGGTTCAAGTAGGTTAGTCAAGAATAGCTACCACAGGGTGGCATTCTTTGACACAGGAAACCAGAGCAGGTGCTTCTGTTATCACCTTCACCACTGCTCGCATGGAAAGACAACTCAAACATCAACTGGTATCTCCTCAGTGGTGCCTTGTAGGCATTTGGGACAGAGACTACTCTTGATTTCAAGAAATCATAGAATGGTTTTGGTTGGAAGGAATATTAAAGACCATCTAGTTCCACCTCCTGCCAGAGGCAGGGGTACCTCACACTAGAACAGATTGCTCAAAGCTCTATTCCAATGCTTGCAGGGAGGAGGTACCTGGGCCACCTAGTCCAGTGCCTCACCACCATGAAGAATTTTTATTTATATCTTAAATAAATCTATTAGCATAAAACCATTATCCCTTATCCCATGACTACATACTTTTGTGAAGAATCCCTCTTCAGCTTTCTTGCAGGCTCCTTTAGGTAGTGACAGGCTGCTTTGGGGTCTTCTCAGCACTTTCTATTCTCCAGACCGAGCAACTCCAACTCTTTGAACTTCTCTTCACATAGAGATGCTCCAGCCCTCTGATGATCTTCGTGGCGTCCTTTGGACTCACTCCAACAATTCCATGTCTTTTTTCATGGCCTCAGAGCTCTATGCAGTTCTCCACATGGGGTCCCATGGGAGTGGGACAGTCCCCTTCCTCACCCTGCTGGCCACCCCTCTGTTGGCTTTCCAGGCTGCAAGAGCACACCACCAACTCACATTGAGGTGCTCATTAACCAGCACCTCAAGTCATTCTCCTCAGGGCTGCTCTCGGTGCATTCTCCACCCAGCCTGCATTTGTGCTTGGGATTGCACTGACTCAGGTGTGGCACCTTGACCTGGCCTTAAGAAACTTCATGAGGTTTGCATGAGCCCACCTCTTAAGCCTTTTGAGGCATAGCATACGATCTATGGCATCCCTCCCATACTGCAGTACACGTTGATCACACCATAATTGCAATAAGAAGGCATAGATATGAACTTATTCCAGCTCCAAACAGCTTCCTCTTTAACCCAGAAGAGCATTATAGCTGTAAAGACATAATTTATTTCACTTCAGATTTATTTTTCCAAGTTTTAAATGTGGAGATGCTGAAAATGGGAAAGAGAGGCACTTAAATGGCAGAAGGAACACTGACAATAACATCAAATAATTGTTCAGGTGGGAAACCAACGTGACATATGTTGCAGCCACTCGCATCAGGGATGGGAGAGACTTGTCTCTTACTGTGTTTGACTTTACAACTTACCCAGAGTTCGAGCTGGCCTGTGAATGAAATGCCATTTCACAGATGGAAAGTGATTTCTGCTCTTGGACAAGGAGGGAGGGAGTGGGATGCCTCACAAGCTGCTGCTCTGCGCATCCCAGACGAGCTGGTGCACAGGTGCCTGCCCCAGCTCCTGACCAGCATGCAGCTGCAGGCAGCGCACTGCCACCTTCCTGCTGCTGGGAGCGGTAGGAAGGGGCTGTCTTTGCACTGCAGTACAGCAAATGCACATGGATGGCACTCGCTGTGGGCACATGGTGCTGACAGACGCCTGGAGGACCTTGACCCACAATACAGATGACAGAAGAGAGCAAGAAAGGCAGGGGAAGGGGAATTGCTGGTTCTGAATGAGGAAGCCCAGTTCCTCTTCCCTGTGGACACTTGACTTCCCTGTACTGATGTGTCTCCTTTAGCTAGATTGTAGCACTACACCCTGCCTGGCTCCCCAGTGGGAGGAACAAACACTTCCACCATTGACCAGGCAAGCAGAATTTTACTAGAACAGGCAGTTCTCAGAGTAGGAGAGTGCCGGAAGCTCCATCTCCTTTGCTCTGCCAGGTGAGATGAACAGCTGCAGCTGTAAACTTCATCCATATCTTTTCCTCCCTGGCCCCAGCAGGTTCTTCCCACTATAGTGACAGGTGGGAGAAAGCCTGGGGCCTGCCCTGCTGCCAGGCGTGAGGTGGCCAGGCACCCATGCTTTTTCCCATCCCAGAACAGCAAGGAATCATTCAAGAAATACAGAGATACAAACATTTAATAAGGATGAATTAGTAAACTAGATATTGCTTTAATGTGATCTACGTACAAAATGA